ACTATTATAAGATACACTGCAACTTTTTCGTCTTGTATGATTTGTGGACTTGTCCAAAAAAGATACTTTCTAACAATTAAAATAAAATTATCTATTAGATAATTGTAATAAAAAATCTACATTCCTCAAAAATATCTTTTAAATTTACCTGCACTTCGTTAGGTAATAATTTGAATACATCGTGGATTTGATCCTTAAATCCTCGAGAAAGCATTTCATCGGCTTCGTCTAGCACGAACAGTTTGATGCTACTTGCTCGAAGTGCTCGTCGGCTGATCATATCGTAAACTCTACCGGGTGTACCGACAACCACGTGAACACCCTGATCCAGTTTTCGCATATCTTCACGAACGTTGGTGCCACCAATGCATGCATGACATTCCGCGTGCATAAAATCTCCTAGAGCGATAACGACTTTCTGGATCTAAGTAAAAATACATAACATTATTAGAATTCTACATCTTTTCTATTAAATATAACTTTTTATTAAAATAAAATTTATAATGAGCTCTACTTACTTGCTGAGCTAATTCACGGGTTGGTGCAAGGATCAAGGCCTGGCATTCTTTAATACTAGTGTCGATTTGTTGAAGAATCGATATGGAGAACGTAGCAGTTTTTCCAGTACCTGATAGTTAGAAACATTGATTGATATAATATACAATAAATACTTTACATATTATATTTACAAGATAATATTATTATCAATAATTGATCTAGATCAAAATTTCTTACCGGACTGGGCCTGAGCAATAACATCGAGCCCCCGTATACATGGTAGGATGGCACGTTGTTGAATTGCAGATGGTTTTTCAAAACCATAAGCGTAAATACCACGTAACAGTTCCTCTTTCAAGTTCATTTCGTCGAAGTTTTCCACAACCTGTTTAAATTAAATATAATATCAGTAAAATATATCACTTTAATATTTCAGTTTATTACCCACATTATATACTAGTTTAGAAGTATTTACTAAATTTATCAATATTACACATTATATTGTACATATAATATGTAAGTATATATCTATATATATGTATAAAATACATCTATATATATATATATGTACATACATCAATGAAAATTATTAAATTTAATACTTTTAACTCTCCTCCGCAATCTGAGTCTTTTTTACACTTTCCTCATTTTTACTAAAATTTCAATTTTTCTTAAATAAAGGTTTTGACATTTTGAGTTAAATTATTTGTTAATATAAAAGAGATATTAAAAAGTAACATTAAATTTTTCCAGAAACCTAGAACAGTAAAAAAAACTTGGGCTACACAAAAAAATCCAGATTTTAGAGACAAAGAGAGAAAATGTATGATTGCAGATTGAGGATTAATATATTACAATATATAAGAATTAAAATATTTTAAGTTAAATATCAATTTTAAAATATTTCAAGTTAAATATCAGTATTAAATTTTTTAAGAAAACATAAAAATATACATATATAATTAGAAAATTTTTAATAATATAATTTGAAATAAAAAATCACAATAGAATGACACAATTATTTTGAATAGTTTTTTACAGAAGAAATAATAAATAATTGCTTCTTTTATCTACAGTTTTTTTTAATTAATTCAAATTATTCGCAAGTTATTCACAGGACAACACTAGATATAAGATATAGATTCTTAATTTTTTTTTAAGAAACATTAACTATTAAAAATCTAGATTACATCTTTAATATTTTGATTTTCTATATACACACATGAGATGTTCTTTTTTTACTTCAAAATAAATAACATGCCTGGATATCAAAGGTTATTTTAAAAATAATCTAATAATTTTACATTATGTTACATAAAATCATAATATTCTTGAAAGTATTTTTTCTTTAATTATAGATGTGGGGGTTATAGTAGATAAATTAGTAAAGACAATTAAATTAGTCTAGACAATTTTTATAAATACTGAGGAATGTGTGTGTGTGTGTGTGTGTGTGTGTGTGTGTGCGCGCGCGCGCGTGTATTCATTAACTATGTTAATGTGCTTAATAATTGACAAGTGTATAAATACATTTTGTGTGTGTGTGTGTGTGTGTGTGTGTGTGTGTGTGTGTGTGTGTGTGTGCGCGCGCGCGCGCTACTTTAAATATCTGTATGTTAAGTATAGAAATTGTAATATATACCAATAATGTACTAATTTGTACTAATGTAGAATATCAATCAAAGTATAAACGACATGTTGCATCTTCCAATAGTAAAAGAAAGCAAAATCTTATATTCAGAGAATGCAATAGTCACTTACAACGTCCCAGTTGGATTCGATGACGCCATCGGGATCCATTCCAGGAGGTCCATCATATGGGGGTTGTCCACTTTCACTAGGACCATTTTTTGAATCCTCCGGCCATTGATCATCATTTCTGAAATGATTTGATAGATAGGATATCAGAACAAGTAATAAGAACATACAGAAAAGATTAACAATGTTAAACGTTAAATCATATAAGTCACACTTTTATAAGATAACTAATAAATTTTTGTAAATAAATTGTAAAATATACTTAACATATATTTACAAAATATAAGATTTTAATTTTATTTTATTGCAATATACACATTAATTTCTGATATAGAGAATACATTTTCGATAAGGGAGAGTCGAAATTTAAAGGAAAATTTAATTAAATTTCTACAGTGCAAAACATAAAAGAAACATAAAATCGTGTATTACATTTTTTTATGTCCGTAATAAATAATCGAACTTTACGTAAGAAATTTATAAAGATCTTAATAAAGGTACTAGTGCACGTATCAGCATTTAAAACTCTTCCAGAATCGATAATATCGGTCACGGTGATCAGGCGATGACAAATCACTTTAAATCCACGTGACCTTGTGAAAGCCGAATTTTTAATTCAATCCCGTCAAGTATGTACATCGTCTGTCGAGAACTGTACGGTTCGATGGCCATTTTACTGTGTTTCGTACGGTACAAGCAAGTCGACGGAATCGAACCCGCGTGGAGGCGGCACCAGGATCCTTGCTCGTCGCGCTATAATCGCCGTGACAGTGACTCATGCGGAAGCATGTTCCAGGCGCGAGACGTGTCGGCTGACGCCGAGGCCAAGGGAGCGTGCGACGATGACTATGCGTCCAGCAATGCGCGAGGAGCCTCGGGTGGCGGGTCAGCGCAATTGATTTTTTTTTTTTTTTTTTGTATATGTGTCTCCCGACACAGAAACCGCGCGAAAAAGCGATATTTCCATTACGTAATTGTACGCGGCCGAATCGGAGAAAACGTGATCGCTTGTCGAACTCGCACACACGGAGTGGACGAGAAAGAGAGCGCTTGCTTCACCCACGCTAACGGCGTCGGGCGCATGCATGCCGTCGGGTCGCCGTGCGTGCTTGCTTGCTCGCTCGCTCGCTCGCTCGCTCCTATCATGCCACGCGGTCCTCCGCCGCGGTATCGCGACGAGGAGGTTAAGCGGCGGATCGACATGGACAGCGTGGATCGTGGCTGTTAGTCGCGGCGAGGACAATGTGACAAAAACGAATGCACGCCATGTTGTCAGTCTCGTGTCCCCCGTGCATCCGTCCGATTGCGGCACACTGTTCTTCACGGACGTATTTTAACCTACGTACGCGCGAATCTCGCGATGCGCGCGATCCACGACGGCGTCGACATCACGGTGATCACGGCAAGCCGCTAGAACGCGAGCGCGGTACGCCATTACGCTGAAAAACCGTTCAACTTACCTTCGTTCTGTAGTATGCGACATGTTCAACTCGCGAGAATTCGACAGAAAGGAAGAAGAGCTCGTGTGGCGTCACCAAGAGTGTTCTAGAAACTACCACGATATGGCGCTGCGCACGGTGTTCGGAAAGCACCGGTGCGATGATTTTTCACTGGACGTTTGGCTTCATATCGACGTCGAAACTAACACGTCGATTGGCTCGGTTGCACCCTAATGAATCGTGACAATCAAATCAGAGTTTTTCTCACGAATGTAAATGATTTTAAAGTTATTCCACTTGCCGATGGTTATCGCGCATGACGGAAATGACATTGCTATTCTGGCGCTTTATAGCACCCCGAAATCGTCGTGGTGGGATCTTACCGTGGGAAATATGAACGATTAAAACAGTACACAAAATTATAATTAAATAATGCGTTAATGTAAGATTATATTGTAATCATAATTCAGTCATTAAAAAATATGATTTTATTTTATAATTAATACATGTAAGTCTGTACAAAGATACAAACATTTATCTTGTATAATACATACAAACTTAGATATTACGATCTTCATTCAGCTGCCCTTAATTAATTAATTTAGATTTCAAATACACATTTAAATCTCAGAATATTATGTTCTAAAACTGTGGAATGCCTATTTAAATATAACTATTAGAATTTCAATTTGCCTAATTTGGAGAAACAATTTTTTATAAAGAAAATATTTCAAGAATTTAATTGAACTTCACAAATTAAAACTATAGATAAAAAAATGAAAATAAAAGATAACAGTTTGAAGAGTTAATCGAAAAATATAATTTCATTACTGGTTTTGTTTTCACAGATTTTTTTACTATTCGAAAATTAACTGGCGAAACACATTATAGCTTCTATACAGAAAGTACCCGTAGAAGCCTTAAAAATATTATTCAAAAACTATAAATATAATTGATATTTTTATTAAAACAAAATCGATTCTGTAAATGAATCAATAATTTGTAGAAAAAAAAGGATACTTGTTAGGTAATCTTGAAATAAATGAATTCGTATGCGTACATTTACAAAATTTTATACATACGTTATATAGAATTTTTATATCTATACATGCATTTATTAAAATAATCTATTATAGGAAAAATATACTAAGAAAATGAGTAATGGAATTATATATTTTTTTTAAATCAGTGCACACCATTTTAAGTAAATTATTTGTTACTTCTATTGAAATACATAATTGTCTTTAATCCTTTCCGTTTCTTTGTAATTTATATTGAATTTTTTTTGATCAATTCATAGCTTCATGTAAATTTGTATTTAAATAGTTTGTGATTTGTTTTATGATTTGTGAAACAACAAAAAAAGCTTTCACAAAGTTGTATGTACTTATGTCTGCAGGTATTTCTAGATAACCGATTTAATTATATAAAAGCACAACTAAGAATTAAGAGCAATATCGCAATTGGAAAAATCATGTACGCGCCCATTCGTGGCTGACAAATAGAAATTAGTATGCCAGCGTCGTCCATTTCATTATGCTCTATACCGTCCTTAGTTGGTATTTCGACAATTACCCTATCCGCTGACAGCGGGTTTATATGAAATGAGCATTCAGTTTGATTAATACATGACTTAGTCACATTTTCATATTGAAAAGTCGGTTTATATATATCAAAAATCGCATAAATATCATTAGACACAATATCGTTATCACTATAAAAAATATAATAATAATAACCATCTTGTTCTATATGGTGATTTGCCTGTATGTGTTTATTATTAAGCAAATAGGAAATGTTAGTACATTGATCTGAAGGTTGGAATTCATGAGCTAACAATATTTCACCATTGTAACAATTTAATAAATCAGTTTCAAAACTAGAAATAGACGACTCTTCGTTAGAATCAGATGTATAATTTTTGTCAGCATTTCCACCATGCTTAATACCTTGATCTAATAAGGATGATGGCTTTATGAGTTCTCTACTTCTTTTAAATCTTTTGGTATCCATTTCATTTCTCTCTTTTATTTCTTGTTCCTTTCTGTCATTAATTATATCTGAATTCAATGTTTCTTGTAATTTTTGTATTCGCATTTTTTTATTGTAATTATAGACTCCTTTTCTTCTTTGCTTTATTCTTTTAGTTTTATTTGTATTCACCATACGACGTTTAATATGTCTTTCTTTTCTAGTGTTATTATTCATACTTTCTTGCTGATCACCTACATATTTATCAAGATAAGACGTTGTAGTATGATACAATGTCTCTAAATGTTTTAAACTCTTCATCAATTTTTCATTTGTAATATATGCCCGTGTGCCTAGATTTTCTAGATTTGTTTCGGAAATTCTTTCATTTTCAGAACTTGTATTTACAGCTGATTTATCTACCTCACTGATATTGTGTATAGGTTTAGTAAGTTCAATTGTGGTTGTTTCTTTAGAATCGATTTCTTGTGCATTTGATTCATATAATATTTTAACTTGTTTGTTCGCATCTGGAAAGAAAATTTCTTGCGACTGCTTATTAATATTATGTTCCAGCAAGCCACAAGTGCGTAGGTTTTTCTCTCCTTTTACTACCAATATAGAAGCTCCTTCGAATCTGAAAATATTTTTATTTCTTTTATATATGTAGTATAATAAATAAATAGCATTCAAAGATTTACATTAATAGATTATATCTCTAATCATACTAAAAAAATATATTTCGTTCAATTTTCTTTACCTTGAACATACAGAAAGTGCTACAGTTGCACTTTTTAATAAATAGAATCCCCAATATTCCAATGTATCATCTGGTAAATTCATGCTCTTTTTAAGTCTTATGTGTTTTCGTTTTGATGCTATCTCTGGTCGATGAGTCATTTGGAAAGCATTAAAAGTGCCATTCATTTTTAAAGTATGTTCCTAAAACAAGGCATTCTTTAAATTAATTTACACTTTGTTTATGAAATATGACAACAAAATACCAGATTAAGAAAAGATTAAATGCTAGATTAAAAGGGCACATCTTCTTTAATAATAATTATAAATATTAATTCATTATTCACTTGTTATATATTATATATAGATATTTAATAAAATTTTAGATTAATTTCATTTATATTAATATTTAAGCAACGATATACATGCACAATTTTAAAGAAATGATAACGTTAAATATTAGATATTTACTTTCCTTTTCTTACCGAACAAAATATTGTTGAAATCCCATCATTGATTTCTATAATATCGGATTCTGTTACAGCATATGCAACATCAGCATAAAAAATATGCCGTAGATACAAAGGAATTATTATCAGTAGGAATGGCAGAACAGCTGTCAACATGCACAAAATTATCAATCTTCTTACAATATCCATTTCTGCTATGCCTATTAAACAAAATTGACAATATTATCATTAATGTTACTTGAAATATTAACAAATGAACTGAATTATTTATATATATATAT